GTGTTGTGAACATGCTATGCTAGCCTAAAGAGGGCTTGAGGTGGATGCTGAAGAGCTCGATCGTGGCCTAGAGTGTAGGGCTTTGAGGAGGTTGGCGACGATGTTGAGCGAAGGTTGGAGCGATCCGAAGCGAAGTGAGTGTGGTAGAAGGCGACAGCAAGCTGAAAAAGGTTAGAAGACTGAATAAAGAAGAAGCCAGGAAGATACTTACCATGTTCAATGGCGAAGGAGGATGTTGGAAGGATGACCATGGCTCATGGTGAAGGAAGGTTGATCATCGATGGATGTGATGTTGGACCAAGGTTGGATGAAGTGTTGATGACCAAGTAAGGTATGAAGATTGTTGAGCAGTGATGTTGATTGAGGAAGAGTGAAGCTCAGTAAGGTTGGAAGTGGTCGACATAAGTGAGTGAAGGTATGATGTCATGTGACAAAGTGGAAGTGATCCAAAGTAATGATGAAGTGTTGAGCCATGGTCGAAGTGAGTGAAGGAAGAAAGCTTGTTGAGGAAATGAGTGTTAGGAAGTTGGAATTCTTCGGGTTGGGGTAAAAGATTGTGGGGTTTGCGGTAAAAGAGTGTAGGTCGGAGGGGGGAAATGGGGTTTATATGTGCCTGCCAAGAGCCCGCGCACAGACAGGCGCTAGGAGCTGGCGCTGTTGCTCCGGCCGGTGTTCTGCCGGCGACAGGAAGGTCGGAAACACCAGGTGAAGGCGGGTATAGAAGGGCTTCGTTGGCGGTGGAAGGCCGCGCGGGCGCTGCCAGGCGGGAGTGAGAAACCACCAAGTCAAAATACGCGAGGTGGAGTGGCCCGTGCGGCCTCATCAGGTAACGAGAACGCGAAATTCCAGCAGGTCAAGCAGAGACTGAGTAATGTAATGGGTTTGCTGACATGTATGAAGCCAGTGAGGGTGTGCTTGACGGGCAGTGCGATAGTACACAGGTATCGACTGACTGAGCGAACGTGAAGATACGCGAGAACATCCAAACTCGAGATTGGAAAGTGATGATGCGCTGTTCTTGTAGCAAATCTTGAAGACAGCGTGCTCAGTGCGCAAGACGTATCAAGGCCAGCCTATTGATATAGCAACCGTGAAAGTACGTGGCGAGCTTTCGAGAGCGAAAGCTGTGGCATCCGCTCGGAGAATGCTTCTAAGATGCTTCCTAGATGCTTCTAAGATGCTTCCTAGATGCTTCTCGTTGTGTTATGTGAGCCATGAGCGCCTCAGAGCAAGCTCAGCGAAGTTAGAAATTGCTTAGAAGGAGTTGAGCTTGCCGTGCTCGATGGGTGAGTCTTTAGTGACGACAGCAGAGCCAGACTGATCGTCCACGCCCGAGACGGCGAGCAGAACACTTTTTGAATGCGCAGGATCAATGCCGATATACTCATGGCCCAGGAATGTGACTGAGTGCTTCCGCGACGCCGGTACTCACCTGCGGCCGACGAGATCAGTACGCATCCACGATCCGAGTCGAGAATGAGCAGCGACAAGATTGAGTGCCGTAAGCAGTCGCTAGAGATGCAAGTATCAGTCGCTTTCGATGAGTCAAGTCACAATCCAGCGCTGCATAGTTGCTGCTCACTCGCGCCGACCAAGAGCATGTCGTCGAAGCTGTTTCGTGCAACATACAAACGCGGCGCCTACTTTCACCTCATATACGAGACAAGCAGCTGCAGGGATGCGGAATTGGTTCGGCAGACGGAGGGCGAGCATACGAGATGAGACACCGGCCAGACGCAATTGGGCCTGTGCGGCAGGGAGAGACCATATTTCACATCTAGGAAGACAAGCAGGCAATGAGGATAACGTAGGAACACAGATGTGAATTGAGAAAAATATCATATTGGTAGTCGTAGAATATGTGGGAGAAGCAGAGCGCCATGGACAGCAAATGTGTTGACAGCGAGAATATATGATCTTGTGGCCTACGCTGTCCTTGTACCAGAACCCGAGCGCCTGATTGGCACCGGCGGTCAGTCAGAAGCTGCTAGACAGAGCCTGTATACTTCAGAGCGCCGCCCTAGAGTTAATGGAGGCTTTGTGATGTGGCACTCTGATGTGTTGGTTTGCTATCCCGCGGCCTGAGGTACAGCTACGTCTTCATCGCTGGGTGTCGGGACCAGGCGAATTGCGGGCATGGAGAATACGGTCGCTATAAGAAGGCGGAAGCGCGTCCATTCAAGAGCAGATCCAAGGGCAGATAGAAGCGGATCAAGGTGGCGTATCGTCTGGAGCAGAGCTTGCTCGACAGGAGCGGTGCGATTCGTCTTGGCGACTCAGCTGAGACGCCGGCTGTGTTTGCTTGATACGTGGGGTCTGCGACCGTTGAAGTTGCTGCACTTCTGGAGTTTGCGGCATACGTTGCGGTTGAGGGTTTCCAATGTTGCTGTGCTTGTGGAGCTTGCTGCATACGCTGCCATTGCTGCGCAAGCTGTCGCTTCCCGAGCTGAAGCGGCATGTTGCTGAGCCATCGAAGCATCGTCGGGTATCTCTATACTCCTAGAAAGAACGAAGCGTATCGACGTCTCGACTTCAACCCGTATGCGTATGAATCCAAAAATCCCTCTCTTTCATCCTCCCCTCATTAATCCCATCCAAAACACCCCTCACCCACCTCGGCGGCCCCCTCATTCCCTCCTCTTTACCCATGTCCATCCCCGTCAACGGACAGGTAACAAAACCCCTCTCTTCCGCCAATTTGCCCACCTCTTCAACGATCTTTAGACCCTCGTTCCCAGTACCGGACGTAGCAGCATCTAGCCGATTACGACGTTCCTGCAGCCTGCGCTCTATGAAGGAGGATGCGGAATCGAGGCTATGGGAGGCGAGGCGCTGGAAGGAGTGTATAAAGCGGTTTATGATGTCGATTAGGATGCGATAGGCGAGCTCGGTTAGGATTGCTGTGCCGGTTTGTTGGGTGAAGAGGTGGGAGGAGATGAGGGAGCTGGAAAACGAGCGTGTTGTTAGGGAGGTTGACGGCCCTGGACGGTAGAGTCTGAGGGATGATGAGACAGTCATGGTGAATTTGTTGCTAGTAGGTATGGATGGCTATGGAGGCAGTACCGTTGCGAGTTCGCTGAAGGGATGTGTAGTGGAGCCTGAGGCACAAGCAGCGGAACCTCTACATTTGTACGCCTCATCTTCCTGTACGGCGTCCACGGCGTCCTGCCTAATACTTCAACCCATTGCGCTACGCCGATAAGCTGTGAAACTCCCTGCGCGATGCTGTCGCAAAGCTAACTACTCGGAGTTCCCAACCACCGACCGCGAGATGCAGATTACGGCAGCTGCCCGCCTGACCGGGACCCGCGGACGCCGAGCTGCAGCGCCGCTCCCTCATCACCGAACCCAATACGCGATCCCTCTTTTCGCATGCCCAGGTGCGCTTACGTGAGATGCGTTTCCTCACCGACGGCATCTCCCATTTCCACTTCTCTCTCGTCTCTCTGGACGGGCAAATCTAACTCAACGAGCCAGGGTGGGTGTTCGAGAACGCCGGGTTCAGTGCCTTCCATCGCCGCGTTGACGCAGAGCGTCTGCTGTTTGTTCTCTCGAAATTTTTGGGCGGGGCCTGGTGGCAGGCTTCTGTATCCCTTCCTATGCGCTGAGTTCGTTCCTATCCAGACTTTGGTTATTGTTTTAGTGTCGCTACCTGCATCTAGTTCTGCTCCTCCTCTGCCGGTGAAGTCCAGCACGTGTGCTTGGTAGAACCAGCGACGCGGCGTGTGGATGTGGCCGAAGCAATGCAGTCGTGGCTGTGCCCTTGCGATGGCGCGGCGCAAGTGCTCGCAGCCTGCGCTTTGGTCGTCAGAAGTCGTGTCTAGGATGTATTTTGGGGGGCCGTGGGTCATCACGATGTCGACGTCGTTGGGGATGGTCTCGGTCTCGGTACCGACGTTCTTCGCCCACGGTGGAGTGCCTGAGGCATTGAAGCGATCTTCATTCGACGGGTACTGGAATGCTGATGCGCCGTAGAGAGGCGTGTATGGTGAGGCATATACTTTGAATGTCGCGCCGCATGCTAGCGTGAAGGTATGTGTGCCTTCTCTTAGGAAGGTGATGCCATTCAGGCTGGCTTCGGAACTTGCATCTGAGCTCACAAGCGCCTCTGCCCGCTCTGAATCAGTCTCCGTTTCACCCTGGGAGAGCCAGTATGACTTGTCGAGCGAGATCTCGTGGTTACCAGCGATGACGAGCTTCAGCTTGGCTTTGACTTTGCCCAACGTCTGGAGGGCCGCAGAGACGCTTTCCGGGGTGCCATCTTCTGTCAGATCGCCACAGTGTAGGAGTACATCGCATGGCGGGAGGTTTTCCGGTAGTTCAGCACCATGCGTATCTGAGAGTATGAGGAAGCGGACGGGCGTCGAGAGAGTATGTGCGCCTCCAAATCGGACACGTTTAGCAGGTGGCTGAGATATCATCGTAGAGTGCAGGAGTTTCAAGACGGTGAGATGTGTTAAGGAAGGGTCTAGAGGTGCTAGAGGTGCTAGAGTATGAGCGTGTGTGCAGATTCTTACATTCTCTCATCTATGTAGACATAAGCGGCAGTATGTAATGAAAAATCTAGTAAATGTGCATGTTTGCTGCGAACCAAGGTTGAGAAGTGAGCTAGCCAACGCTCACCATCGACTCTGAGGCGCCTCGTACAAGAGCAAAAATGAACAGGTCTGCAGACTACATCAAGACAAAAATGTTTAAATTAGGTAAGCTAACGTCATTGTAGGCTCCCGAGGTCTATGGTGTCCAGATTGTCCCTCAGTCAACGTGGAGGCACGGACAGATGCTTGGTCTTCATGGGCTTAACAAGGCTATCATCAAGACTAGCAAAATCTTCGACGAGTGCGGACAATGGCGTTCGATTATTGTCATCTACTAATACAAGTATGGAAAGTATCGTAAAACAGCATAGGTACCAAGGAAGACATCGCCATTGACCGTTCAAGGGAGCGACCGCTCCGTTATCAATTAACCCAAATGATCCACCACCACCGCTTGCAAACCTACAGGCTAGCGACAAGCGCCGGCAGCACACTCCTGCTAGTGTAAGCCCAGCTGCTGGAGCTATCATGCGCCCTCCACGCAGCACCAGTCCAGAAAGTGTTGCGCTTGCTCTGCAGAGCGTACAAGTCCTTGTAGAAGCCGTTCTTGGTAGCCTCGCCACCGACCATCATGTTGTAGGGGCTGTGGTTGCTGAAAGCGACGATTTCGGGCTCGGGACCGGTCATGTTGTTCATAGCGTGGAAGCGCTTGAGGTCCGCAAGGATAGCGGCCTGGGCCTCCTCGTCGCTGAGGTGCTGACCGACCTTGGTGCCGTAGAAGACCTGGTTGAGTGTAGGGTTGACGGTGGGGAAGACGTTGTAGATGGCGGGCATAGGTGGCAGCGCGTATGGCTTGTCAAGTGCGAGGTTGTTGAGGGTGACGTTGGTAGGAGCGGCGTGCCTGATGATGGCGGTGTAGTAGCCGACAGAAGTGAACTGGCTGAAGATCTTCATCTCATCGCCGCTGGGATCGAATGGGGTGAGGTTCTCGGGCGTGGGGGGAATGGCCATGAGGATCTTCTTGGCTTGGATGAGACGCTGGCCCTTGGGGGTATCGACGAGGACCTTGACGCCGCCGTCGACCTTGCTCACGCGTGCGGTCTTGCGGACCCTGGAGGAAAGGAGTACAGAGTTGGAGGCAAGCAGCTCGGCAGTGAGTGCCTCGAAGAGCATGCTGTTGTTCATCACCGAGCTGGTCTTGAAGCTCTGCATAGTCTTCAGGAGACCGAGAGACATGGTGCGGATCTGCTGGATGGCAGGAAGCTCGAGGATGTCACCAAAGGCGGAGGTGAGACCGAAGATGGTTTGCACTGCATCTGCGATGTCGTACTTCTGGACGAACTGGCCGAACGGCATGTAGAGGTCCTCGGGGACGGGGTCGGGGAGGTAGAAGCCACCCTCAAGTTGAGGGTACTGTGCGAGGACGGCGCCGTACTTCGCCAGAGCAACAGCCAAGGCGGTTTGGTTGGCAGGAGGGAGGCCCTGCAACACCTGACCAGTCCTGAAGTCAACCTGCTGGGTTGGGCCGGTAGGGAAAGGGCTTGCTGGGCCCAGAGTGAGGTTGAAGCGTGCGAACCACTGGTGCACCAAAGGTTCGTCATGGTACAGCTTGACTCCCATGTCGATGGGGAATCCAGTCTCGAGGTCCATGTAGGTTTCGGTGTGACCTCCAAGGCGGTGCGAGCTCTCAACAACCACGACCCTCTTTCCCATGTCCTTGAGCTGGATGGCAGAGTAAGCACCCATACCTCCACCTCCGATAATGACAACATCAGTGTCAATAACCTGCTCCGGGTTGTAGTACCTGGCCTCCATCTTGGACGACCTGGGCGCTGCCATAGCGAAAGGAAGGGCGACCACCGCCGCGGCGGTGATTGAAACGAATGAACGCATGATTGAATTAGTCTTGCAAGAGAATATGAAAGCTAAAAGAGCGACTGTGGTTGGTGATCGTCTGGCATACCAGACCTATTATATTTATATTGCCACAAGCAAGGCCGATGTATGTGCGATGGCTCTTCCAGTTCGGTCCTACTGTGTGGATCGAGGTGTAATCAAAGTAGGACCGCGCATTCGGAAGAATCGACGACAAGCATCGCTACTAGCTTTCAATGGGGCGTCAAGATTCCATTTACAAGGGAAAAAGTCCAGGGTGTGTGCTGTAGTGCTGATGGGCGCTGTAGAGCTACTGCAATCCGAAGCACAACAAAGGAGTACTAGGATTTCGTATAGCCTACTAGTCGTCGGCTTGACCTAAAATCATGTGAGCCGGACGTTGGAGAAGAACGAGGCGTTCGACGGCTACATGGCGTTACCCAGAAGCCTCCATGAGATTCATGGTTTGTGGTGATATTGCTTAGTATCGGTGCGCCAGCTTGGGCGTCCTGCCACGCCGTTGATCACCATGTGGTGTTGGCTCAGGACCACTTCCCCGGATCGGAGTCGACACCCTGATAAATTTCGCCGCTAGCTCACTGCTGGTGGAGATACTGTACTGATGTTGAGGCTGAGGCTGACCACGCTCAAAGCGCCGCGTTCGGGGCGTTCGTCCGCGCTTAGGACGTGTTCATGGGCCGTTGAGGCTCTCGGCACTACCTGGGTTCTCCTTGAAATTCTTGGAGCACTTGGAGCATTGACGATTGGTGAGGAAACAGAGAGAGGTACACCTCAGTCTTTGTGCAGCCATGCGGAAGTCGGCACCTTTTTTGCTTACACTATGTCTGTGAGAGAGTTCGTTCTCGATGTTTCGTGCGCAATTGACTTTCTGCGAAGGCTCCTGTCCCGTGATTCATGAAGCCTCCGCAGAGATCCGATATAGAGCATTGATGAGTTTCCTGGATAGCATCCACCAATGATAGTTGCAGAATGTAGCTTGTTCTGATACGTAAGCGCAAAGCTTGATGTATGCCGACTGATGGCCTCCTGAAAGTATGACGCCCAAACCTCATTTTGGGACGCATCTAACGCGTGGCCAAGCCAAAGGTGGCTGTGAAAGTGGATTCGTGGTGTTGATGGATCGTTGGAGGCTACGGCAAAAGAGAGGGTTAATAAGGTAGCCTCGCTGACGCCCACGCCCACCTGGGCAGTTGCCAGCGATGGCACGTGCGTCAACAGATCACAAGTGTAATGTGCCGGTACATCACAGCGCGAAGATAAAGCCAAGCTACCGAGACGCCGTGTAAGATGACGATCGCTTCACGGTCGCTCTCTGTAGTCATCCGAGTGTGCCTAGATCCTGCTTTCCATGTTCGAGGGTGTAAGACCTAACAAATGCCGGCACTAAGATGTCATTGCAGCGACCGCCTGAAGCAATTTCAACATGTAGATGGAAATCCCAAAATCAAGTTGGGGACTAGCAAGATGGCTTTAGATGAGAAATTGGTGGTATGATGCTGCCCAGATGGGTAGCAGATTGTGAACCAGGGATAATGGTAACGACAACGTGACGGCGCGTCGTTCTCGAGAACCTTGGAACCCCACCAAAATTTGAGCGCGCCTCCACACTCCCACAACTGCTGCATCGCATAATGCAGATGTCGACGCCAAGACAACCACAAGCCCGCTTCGACATCTACCGCAACGAAGATGTCGTTGTTTGGTGGTAGCGCTCCGCCACCGCCCTCCTCCTACGAATCTACAACCTCATCGTCTTCATCGGCGCGCTCGTCACCGTCAGTCGAGGAGATCCCGGACCCGCGCAACGTGCAAGAAGCACACACTCCCGCTATCCCGATTTCTTTAGACGTAAACGATGACCTGGATACCGATAGCGAGTCGGCACGCGACGAGTCCGAGGAAGAGGACGACGACGACGAGGTACCGGCGCGCCCGAATCGCTTTGACGGACCGCCCCAAACATGGCAGAGCTACACAGAAGCGGATCGCCAGATAGCCGACTCCCTCGATCAGCTGCAAGAGACAGATCTTGCAGTACATCTGTACAACGCGTATGCGCTCAAGCGCCGGTTACGACGAGCGCCAGAAGACACGGCGAAGTTCAAGAACTGGCAGAGTAGGGACAACTGGCTCAAGACTGGGCAGGATCTAGAATACGTGGATGCGGCAGGATTTACGCAGACGGCGGTTGTGCCTTCCAAAGAGTGGACGGCATGGCCAATCCCTCCAGACGAAGAGCCTCCGAGCAACCATGTGGACGAATGGACTATTGGAAGTGCAAACACCGAAGATGCAGGAGATGAGCTGCGAGAGGAACTCCTAGCTGTTTTCTTGCGGCTGGCTAAAGAGAAGTGGAACTCACGCGAAACGCCCTTGTCTGACTCCGACGCTGGAGACCACATATCAGCTTCGCGAAGCAGATCTCGATCACAAAGCGCCGATACTGCGAAACTGAACAACAAGCCCAGGGCACAAGCCAGGATGGACGACGTCGAGGACGGCAATGATACCGAACGCGATCAGACGACTGGAAAGAAACGTGGCAGAAAACCTCGCATAGAGATACTCGTGGAGCCGACTTTGTTAGCAGACGACGCTAGGGCACAGCGACTTCTCCAGCCGACAATACAGAACATGATGGGGAAGCTAGACAAGCTGGCGCTAGCCATCCGCCGAACGCGCGTCAATCACTTTGGTCGTGGAGAGCTAGGCGATTCTTCTATGAGCGAATACACTTCAGGTGCCGAGTCGAGCGGTCCGAGATCAAGGTCTACATCGAGAGCCCGATCGAAGAGTGCGACAGGCCGCAGATCTAGCACTCGACCACCTTCGCGCGCAACGTCTAGAGAGGTTGATCGCACAGTACGACAAAAGACAAAAGCCGCCAGAAAGGCAACAGATGAAAGAGAGCCCGCCAATGACGATGACATCTCAAGCGGAGGATCTGACTGGGAACAGTCTAACAAGATCCCTCGCGAACGGAAGCGCCGCAGATCCTCAAGCAGCATGGGCGATAGCGATAGTTCCGGAGAAGAAGGGATACTACGGGAAGGGCTTTTGGACTGGAGTGAAGTGCTTGGACTAGCAGCAGTGCAAGGCTGGAACGAAGGAGCTATCGCACGTACAGCCCAGCGCTGCGCAACTCTGTTTGGCGAGGGCATGTCTTTCATGCCCTTCCACGAAGCCCTCGCAACAAAAGCCGCCCCCGAACCCATATCCTACACACCTCTGACCATACCGCCTCCGACCATCCCCTCGATCTCACAGCCTCCGCCACCCAAACGACCCTTCTTCCAAATCGGCACACTGCGTTGCCCGCACGCAGATTGCTGGAGGCACGAGGAAGACGCCCCGTTGGCCTACCGCGTCGTCGAGCATTGCATGCGAGTACACGGCTACGACCCTAGAACTAATGACTCGGACAATGAAGAACGGACGGTTGGTGGTGTGCATATTGATGGGTTCTTACGGCCTATTACGGCGAAGCAGGGCTGGCTTGGGAATGGGAGGGCGAAGGCTGGGAAGGTTAGCAAGAGGGCGAGGACGGGGCAGAGTAGTAGTCGGGGGGTTTCAGAAGCGGCTTTGAGTGCTGGGGAGGAATAGGATTGCCAGTTGCAGAGACGCGTTCGTTGCAAAGCAACGTTGAAGGATCATCAACTCGAGCCAGCAATAGTACCAATGACACTATTTACACTACTATCATATCGCTAGCATTAAGTCCCTTTCAGTATCGCACATATACCCAGGTACGTACCCCACATGATCTCGTGCGGGAGCTATGCTGAAATGAGCTAGCGCGACAGCCAGCCTCGCGATTTGGCGCGTCGGGCCCTTACGAAGCGCGACTTTTCATCATCGCGCCACCCCACGCATCGTACCAACCTACCCTCATTGGTCATTTTCATTCAGCCATATAGCATTATCCTTATTGTCTTCCATTCTTTATGCTTCGTTAAGACGGCCATTTGAACCATGGCATGGCATGATGGCCCACGTCATGAGCCTTCCGATTATGATCGCATGGCCGCCGGTAGGTGCCTCCTCTCTCCAATTAGAAGGATGAGCTGACCATTTCAAGCTATGAGGAGTGGTCTAGACGGCCATGGTGTTTTCCATTGGCAAAGGGATAGTTTCTCTCCTGCTGCCGCTCCTGCGTTTTCTCCACAGTGGTACATGCAACAACCCATACCGCAGCATCCGGGGTATCATCTACCACAGTTTACATCACCACATTCGGAGTATCCCCTACCACGGCACACGCAGTTCCCTATATTACAGCACACACAACTTCCACCGCAGCATGCGCACCATGCTATACCACAGTTCCTATGACGCGTATCACTCACTTCTTTTCTTTTGTTGAGAACCGTCCGCCTTTTGCGCGTTTCCATTCGTGGACATGGTAGTCTTTTGGCTGAGCCATCTAGGTGTCTGCATATACCCCATTTGTTGATGATCGTTGGATACGACATTTGTACTTTTAATATGCACTTCTATTCTTCATCATGGTCATAAAGGCGGAAAAGCATCATATATTCGTTGGTACAAACTACATACATGAAAGTGAAATGGGTATCAACTTTGCAAGGAAATGTCTCATAGCCATGACCAACCTCGCGCTCCAGGCGGCATTTTACTCCGTCTTGCGGATGAGACCTTCACCTGGCTTCACGCGCTGTGCCCACTCGGTCCAACTGCCGTCGTATAACCGTCTCTGCTCTGTGGGAAATCCAGCTTCCGACAACGCAGCATCAATGATTGCTGCCGTAACACCAGTTCCACAGCTGTTTATGATTGGCTTGGACGGATCTACGCCTTTCGACTTGAAGATGGCTTGGAGTTCGGAGGCAGGAAGGAGGGTCTTGTCGTTCGGGTCGAGGAGGTCTGTGATGGGGACGGAGGTGGAGTAGGGAATATGTCCTGAGGAAAGCCCTGGTGTAGTCAGTATGATGCTCTGCCGTGATCGCATCTTGTTGGGTAGTAGATACCTTCTCTGGGCTCTGGGTCAACGCCCTTCCATCTCCCAAGACTACGGGCATCCAGTATCTGCACTTCGTCTGCGCCTTCCTTGCCCAATTCCTTCGCAATGTCCTTCACTTCTTCAAAAGCGACGACTCTCTCCTCTTCCAACTTTGGCACCGCATACTCAGTCGGCTCGACGTCCTTTGGCTCTCCACTCTCCGTTGGAAAGCCATCCTCAACCCACTTGCGGAAGTTGTTCAGCACATGCACCTTCGGATGACCAAAGACCTGCAAAGTCCAGCCCACTCTCGGCGCAGAGAAGATGCCCAATTCCTTTGTATCATAGACAACGACGCTATCTTCCCGTCGTATACCAAGATGTCTCATGGCGATTGCGAAATCTTCGGGAGTGGGTAACATGTGCGGGTACGGCGAATGGATGTCTTTGACGGCATCGAGGTCGAAGAAGCGTGCGCGCGGAATGCGCTGTGCAAGAAAGGTATCGTAGCCATTGCGACCGTCGTTGGGCAAGAACCAAGAAGCGCAAAGTGGGACAATGCGGGGTTCTGTGGAAAGTTTGCTGGCATTGTGCTTCAATGCCGAGTTGAGCTCAGATGGCGTGACGAGATAAGAGGAGAAGGCGGGTTGAGAAGACATTGTCCTTCTGCTGCTTACAGCTATGGGGAAGCTGATGGAGGGGATAGAAGAGAGCGGACGTAAAGAGCAGCGGAAGCGTGAGACGAACATTTTGGAATTTGTCTGATGGCTACGATGGAATGAGAAGGTGTTGTTTGGTCGGCGAGGAAGGAAGAAGGAACGAAGATTTGTGGAGCTAGACGGCGAGGTGAAGCTTCCCTAATCTACAATCCTCGTGCAGAGTAGAGGGTCCGCATCGAGCTTCAGCGTTAGTGCGGGGAACTGCAGCAAACCTGAAGAGGGTCTGATCTCCTTGCCCCCTATATTGACTAATGACAGCAATCGGTCGCGTAGCCTCTATCAGATGGCCATGATAGATGCACCATAGCACGGCGTGTCTGTATAACAGAAATTGCGTGATTGTGTATTTGTGGTGCGTGATAGTCGCTCTGCAGCATGGAGCTCCAGCTTGAGCTCAGACCCCTGCAGAATTAACGCGCAATCGCCGCCCCTCACCGCCGTAAACTGCCGCCTCGGCATGTTTTGGTGCTGTTGATCTTGTTTTCCGCCCAAACTACGCGCCAACCTTGAATTCTACCTTCCAAGCGGCGAAAGATACGATGAAAGTCACTATACGTGAGTGGAATGCCGTCGCCGCCTGGCGCTGGGATATGCCGGACGACGATGTCTGCGGTATCTGTCGCAACCCTTACGACAGCACTTGCTCCAAGTGCAAGTTTCCTGGCGATGAGTGTCCGCTATGTATGTCTGACCATGACGATGCTGGGTCTAGACTAACGTGAGATAGTATTGGGAGAGTGCAACCATTCGTTCCACATGGTACGCCTCCATACCCACGAGGTCACACTGGGCCATAAAGACTAACACGTCTCAGCACTGCATCTTCTCCTGGTTGAAGCAAGAGAGCTCTCTAGAGAAGTGTCCCATGTGCCGACAACGTATGTACGCAAGCGACCTACCAGATCTTCAGCTAACTTGTACATCCAGCTTTCAAGTCGAAGAGTCAAGACGCGCCGACAGCCACCGAAACCCCGGCACCGACCCAAGAACCCGATACAAGCCCGCTGTAGCTTTCGGATCACGCGATCGATTACGGCAACTCGTTGAGAAGCTTGTCGTCACCTCGATCTGCAGGCATATGATGGAAGCTGGGAAAGCGGCGCTTCCATACCTTGGCTTGCACACAGATGTTACTATCGGCGTTTGGATTTGGATGATACCCTAAGGACTGCATTACATACTTTAGCCTTTGAGCTAGGGGCCTTTCACGGCATTCCGTAACTGACTTGCTGCCTTGCGGTTGATGAGGTAGTGTGCATGGACCACGTCCCTTATCGATCATGCACCTTACTAGAGCTCCCGAACTCCGTTAACTCCAGTCTTCCATCAACTCCCACAACATGTCTAGCTACCCTAACACTACAGAGTACCGTTCAGATCGTCGCGCATCGATTTCCCCACGATCAAAGTCAATAGAGCGCGCCGAAGACCCTCCCGACGACGAGCTCCCCGAGCAACAGCACCCTGGCGATGCGCCAGAAGACGAGGATGAGGACGACATACCCTACCCTGAGCCTAGTGACGAGCAACCGCTGCTACCACCGCCGAATTTCCGACCCTTCTTCACCCTGATCGAAGACACGACGTCGGGCGAGCACTACCACCCGTATACACACTATGTCTTTGCCGACGACGACCCGACCATCATAACTGCTGCATCGATGCGAGGCCTGGGGCTGGATGATACAAAGTACCTCCCGCATGATGCACCGGGTGGAGGGGAGAGACGACGCAATCAAGGGAGCGAAGAAGGGGACGAACAAGACTCACCAGTCGAGTCACCGCTGCCCCCGCCCATACCGGGCGTCAAGGAGCATTACCTCATAATCGATGTCGGCGCAGACGGGCGTACAGTCGTAGATGCGCAGTCGCTTTCGTCAGAGTGGCAAATCACCGATACGGATGTACGGATAGCTCCCTCGTTCGATGAGGACTCGCCGGATCAAGGATACATGCTGCGCATACAAGGCATCGACATACCGAGGAAGAGCAAGGGCAAAGGCAAGGGTGAAGTTGGGCAGGACAGGCTGACTGAGGCGAGAGAACAGCAAGGCGACATCTTCGACGCGTTGGATGGGCTAGTGCAGGATGTTGAAAGAGGACTGGAGACTGCTAGCAAGATCTCAGGCGCGCGGTCAAGAGAGGAAGACCAGGGCACGTTGACTGATGTCCGCGAGGGCGATGTAGAAAAGACGGTGGGTGATGAAGCATGATGCTGGTATGCTCTGTCGTTTCGCAAGTGGCTCCAGGTCACACTCCCCGTTCAGTGCGCATATGTATCGAGCACGCGCTTCTTTGCTACTACAACTGCGTTGACTCAGAGGCGGGTTCTAGTTGGTGGCGTTCTTGGCTGCTCAGCTGCAGTATGTTCGCAGTAACATCTAACAGTCATATACGCCTCTGTAAGAGCCAGTCATTAGCTTCAGGAGCGACATTCGCATGCTGGCTTTGACTCCACGGCACGATGCCGTCTTTCCTCACCTACTGTATACTTATACCCATCACAGACTGCGAGCTGCATAGTGTGAGCCCCTTCATCATTCAAGCAGCATGGATTATTATTGCTTGATGCCGCAATGTAATAGACACAGGCTATTTACCTCAGCACGGTTTCTCTCACTCTGCTCACCGCCATGGGGTGGGTTGCCGGTCGCTCCTTCCTCCCTCCTTCTCTCACTACAAGCGGGGCGGGACGGTATGGGCACGGGCACCCACTATATGATTCAAACCTCTCTGCGTCAAGCTTCCTCATCACTTCCTACCTCCACTTCCTATCATTTCCCTAGCTTTACAGTCAAGTATCAATCATGGCTATCTTACGCACCCTCCTCGTCGCTGCCTCAGTGCTCTGCCTCACCACAGGCTATGAGCTCAAGGCGGAATACAACGCGAGCAACTTCTTCGACAATGGCTCCTTCCGTTTCTACAACGGCTGGGACCAGTTCACCCAAGGCATGGCTCTCTACGTCTCCAAGGAAGAGGCAACTTCACTTGGACTTGCTCGCATCGACGACGGCAAGGTACATCTAGGAGTCGATACAACTCAAGTACTCCCTCCGCAAGAGCCCGGTGAAGGCTATGGCCGCAAGAGCGTCCGACTAGAAGGAGTGCAGACGTTCGACAACGGACTCTTCATTGCCGACTTTGAGCACCTGCCCAGTGGATGTGGCATGTGGCCTGCTTTGTAAGTCTCACTTCCCAACTATCCCTCACCTTCTCGGACTTTCGAGTTAGTACTGACTCTCGCATCCTCTCTTGTGCTCATCATCGTTTGTGTGGCACGTCAGACATGTACATCGGCTAACCACGTGCAGCTGGCTGCTCCACGACACAGGTCATCAAGAGGAATGGTACTCCGAGTTCGACATCATCGAGGGTGTCTCCATGAACTCGCGGAACTCGCTCAGCCTCCATACCGGTCACACGCCATGCAAGATGCGAGACAATGGCGGATCAGGCGAGACGCGCCCAGACCTCGAATGCATGGAACATCGCGACTGCGGCGTCAATGGCCCCGAGGGCTCGTTCGGCCAACCCTTCAACGATAACCGAGGCGGTGTCTGGGCAGCCCAAGTCGAGGAAGATGGCATCAAGGCATGGTTCTTTCCTCGGGGTCACGAGCCATCGGGTTGGGATAGCGCGAATCCTGACCCCAACACATGGGGCAAGCCTGTGATGAACTTCGTTGGGGATGGTTGCGACATTCGCAATACGTTCAAGAAGATGAAGATCGTAAGTACATTCGATCTCGTGGATGCGAGTGCCTACTAACATAGGACAGATCATCAACATTACCTTTTGCGGCTCCATGGCTGGAGGCAATGCCTGGTCTGGCTACACACACTGCGCAGCGGAGACTCACGACGAATCTTGCACTCACTTCGTTGCGACCAACCCCGACAAGTTCAATGAAGTGTACTATCTCATCAACTCGGTGAGAGTTTATCAAAACGGCGCTGGTGCTGGCTACCAGGACAACTGCCTCCCACCTTCTTTGCCTCAAGCGTCCCTCACCTCCTCTCAAGCAGAGCCGCTCTCAGCGATGGCTGGAGAACAATCTCCCCTTCCAGTAGTAGTGACTACCGTTATCACCTCAACCAAGATCATGACTCTACCGGCGACTCTGACTGGCGGTAAGAACGAAGGTCCATATGATCCATCGGCGTCCCCTACAGCTCCGACGACTTTTGAGATTCTCTATGGCCAGCGTGCCTCGCAGGTGGCCCCAGAGGCAGCTCCTGCGGTAGTTACCGTAACAACGGTCATTACGTCAACGAAGGTTATGACACTGCCTGCCACTCTGACTGGCGGTAAGAACATGAGTCCATATGACCCTTCAGAATCCTCCACGACTCTCATCACCTTCCACAACAAACGTCTCTTGTTGACGGCATCCGAGGCGGCTCCAGTATTCGAAGCATCATCGGCGACATCTACCAAGCCTGTGGGCACAACGACTGGTGGCAAGTACTACAGCGGTTACGATCCGTCAGCGACTCCTACATCTGCCAAGCCTACAGGTACAAGGATCGGAGGCATTACCAACTACACCACCGTACAGACTCCTGGGGCGTCATCTACGAAGCCTATAGGCACAACGATGGATGGCGTTACTAACTACACCACCGTCACTGCTTCGGCTGTGGCTTGAGTTGTGGCCATCAGCACAAATCGAGCACGCGGCTGATGTCTTAGCTCGTTGGTTGAACAAGAGTGGTTCGATCTCAATCATGCATATTATGGCGTTATGGAAGAACATCTGAGGCGGGAGAGAATGTACGGATAGATGAGCAAAGGCGGGAGATCAGAGGTTCAGCGATTTTATTTCAAAATACAATGCCAGATAGGCGCGGACATATACGTGCGAAAATATATCATCTTTCCTCACCTCTTCTCTCGCATTCCCCTCCAGCCCCCTCCACCTCCCTCGACGGATACCCACCGCCATCCTACCAAGGAATGGTCACCCCGAAACGATCGACCAACCTCCCACTCTCCCACCCTTCTTCATCCATCTTTCCCAAAACCCTCATACAGTCCTTCACGCTCTCCTCGACCCCAATCGCCCCTTCTTCTTTCCACTCCACTAACCCCGTTTCTACTCTTCCAGGATGCAGCATCAAAAATTGCACATCAGGTATATCGATAACCAGACTTTTTACCACGGCGTTGAGCGCCGCTTTACTGGCTCGGTACGCGTACCCGCCGCCCGCCGTGTTCGCGGATATGGAGCCCATTCGAGAAGATAAGATGACAACTTTAGGTTTCGATGCGGATTGAGCAGCAGAGAGTTCGAGGTTCTGAAAGAACGTTCTAACAGTGTTAAGCGTGCCCCAAGTGTTGATCTCAAACGTCCGCATCATAGTCGCATGGTCCATGGCCTCTAGCGTCTCGGTCGCGGCGACATCTTTGTCGCCCTGTTTCTGTTGGGCGACGATTTCCGGAACGAGTCCTCTGATGCCGGCGCAGTGGATAATAAGGGATATCGGTGTGTTTAAGATGTTTGAAGCGAATTCTTTGAGTCCTTCAGTAGAGGTTATATCGAGTCTGTGGAAGGAGATGGTGTTTTGTTGGTGGGCGGGGAGAGGGAATTCTTGGTTGTCTATGGCTATTATGATTGGCGGTGTTGGTAGGGAGGCATAGTATTGAACGAATGCGAGACCGAGACCGGAGGATGCGCCTGTTATTAGGATGGTTTCTGGCGGCATTTTGGGTTGTGGTGTTAGGGTTTGTGGTGTTGGTGTGTTAAGAGGCTGAGGTAGGCAGGCGACTAAAGGAAGTTTTGTAGGTACACCGTCGATGATTTACAGTTCATATCTCAATGTGGCAATTTTGTTGAAAGGAAACTATACTACAACAAGTCATGGCGTCGGAAGTAGTGGGGGTGAAGAGCCTCAGGGTCCTAGTCCATGCCGCCTAGGTTTGCCGATCTGGAGGTGACGATGGTTCCCCGCAGTCTACCCGTTGGCGGCAAACGGGTAACGACCCGCATGACGGATTTGGCTTTGAAGAAGGATATAAGAACTATCTGGAGATGTTGTCGTGGTACAACGATCATCACAAGTTCGACCGTATTTGAAAGAAAGTGCTAAATGGCATTTTGCATGACGTAGCTCTTGCCGGCACGATGTTCTATCAACCTGGAAAAGAAGACCACGGTTTACCGTACGATCCATTCAAAGTATGCATATCTACGAGTCTTTCCGGATACATCCAAAAATCCCTAATTGTCAACTAAATAAAGAGACTAACACCCATTAGGCATGCGTCCTCCCCCGCCCCATAGGTTGGATATCCACCCTCTCCCCAACCGGCGCTGCAAACCTAGCCCCCTACTCGCAATTCAACAACCTAACCTTCGACCCCCCTTACGTCATGTTCAGCGCAAACCAAACACCCAGCAACAGCCAGAAAGATACCGTCCGCAACGTCGAAGCTACAGGGAAGTTTGTGTGGAATCTAGCGACGTATGAATTGAGGGAGGAAGTGAATAGAAGTGCAGTGCAGGAAGAGTATGGGGTTGATGAGTTTGAGATGGCGGGCGTGGAGAAGGAGGATAGTAGGGTGAGTGGGGTTGTTGTTGGGGGAAGTGGTGGGGATGGGAAGGAAGGGAGGAGGGAGATGATGGTGCCGATGGTTAAGAGGAGTCCGGTGAAGTTTGAGTGCGAGTACTACACCACCCTACGCCTTCCTGGGAATCCGCCTATGGGCTCGGCGGATGTGGTGATTGGGAAGGTGGTTGGTGTGCACATCGATGAGCGCGTTTTGACGGACGGCAAGATCGATGTAAGGAAGACGGAGCCGATTGCTAGGTGTGGGTATTATGAGTATGCGGTTGTGAGGGAGACGTTTGATATGCGGATACCGGGGGAGGACAAGGCGATTTTAGCGGGGTTGGAGGGGAGTGCGAAGAAGAATGAGAGGTTGGATAGGGTGGGGGATGTAGATGGGGAAGACATGCGATGATGGGAAGTATTGTACAAGACACGTGCACGATAGTAATGGCGGCAATGTCGCTATCTCTACCTAGGACTGATATAATGAAACGAAACATGCATGCCAGTCTGTCAGAAAGACGAACTCCAAGATACCATACCCCAAACGCCGAAGACAGCAGGGTTCCCAACAACAGCCATCGATCATATGCGGGTATCAATGTCAGGGCCAAGATTCCTAGTATCTAGGCGCTCGTGATGCTTTGGTAAAACTGCTT